TGTTCCTGTTCTTGCAAACCAGTGAGAGAAGCAGCCCATCCCTCCACCCAACAGCAAACAAGAATAGCTTCTTGCTCTGTGGACTTTCCCGTGAACCGGCTCCACTGAAGTCAGTAGATTTCTTTGTGAGTAAGGCTATTGAAGATAATGCAATCTACTTCCGAGTAGACATGTATTTCAGTTGTTTCTTATGGAAGAGGATAAAGATGAAGGCATAAAAAGATACCACAAGCTTAACTTTTTTTCATAGGAAAAGGGAAGGGCTATTTGCAGTCAGAGAAAGGAGTCTGGGGGATGGCTGAGGAGGCCAGAAAGCACTTGAAGGGTCTCTGAGCTTCTGCCTGGTTTGGCAGAGCCTGAGCCCAGATGGAACCCTTCCTCTCCCCTTCCACCCCCACAGGTGAGCACACATGTAACAGTATCCACTCTAACTTAAGTGCAAAAAAGAGAAAAGTCAGAATAAAGCTGGAATAAAAGGAGAGAGACAGAAAACAGCGTCATGGACCATAAGAATGCCGCAGGCAATAGTGTTGGAAGAAAAACTTGGTGTGGATCCAGCCTCTGTTTGAGGACATGTTTCTCATGTAGTTTTAGGCCTCACCAGCCAAAGACCAAACATTCGGCACTATGCTGCCCCTTGCCAGTTCTTTGTTCTAGGACTCAGCTGATCCTAATAAATTGGGCACTGTAGTCTGTACTGTTGATCATTGGGGTGGGGGGGCAGAGATGCAAGGCCAGGGATAGTTAAACTGCAAGTTTTCCTACTGCTGCAAAGCTTGCCAGGAAGAAGTGTACTACCTGGTTTTCTGGAGCTGAGGTTAAAAAACTTCTGAAAACAAACAAATAAAAAGGGAACAGCCCTACAGCTTTGCCATGCAGTGATATTGACCAAGGGAATGAATATGACATGAAGCTCATAAAACTTACCTGCTAGCGCTTTCCAGGATCCTCATAAAATATGGCCTATTCACAGCAACAATAAGCAAAGCAGCTACAGCCACTCTGACTTGGTCTTCCGTAAGAAATGAACACGCTTTGGAAACCAGCAGCAGCTTGCCTGAAGCACCTGGAATTGCAAAGCCCACTGAGCATGATCAGTTCAGGTGCAGCCACCTGCAAAGCTCAGATTGGTTGGCCCAGTTCCGAAATGGATACTGGAGCCTTCCCCCAGCCTTCCCCCAGGAAGGTCCAGCCATGCCTGTTTGCTCCCAAGTAAGTCTCACTGAACAATACTAACTTCCAAGCAAATGGGCAGATGGTCACAGACTTACTGCTTAGGCCTGTTCACTTGGAAGGAATCCCACAATGCACAGTGGGGCTTATTTCTTAGTAAGTGGATTTAGAATCATGGCCTGACTTCTCTGGTAAACTAGGATGCACAGATATCCACTACTGCTGTTTTCTAATCCATGTGGCTCTGCAACATGTTATGAGAAATAGTTCTATTTAAAACCATGCTTAAAACGGTCACTTCTATGCTGCAGCAGCTGCAAGGTCACATTCAGGAATGTTTTCACATTCTAGGCAGGGATGCCAGTTTCCTGTTAAAAATCTTCCCTGCTTATTTGTCCCAGAAGGTGCTTGTGTTACAGGAAGGCAGATTTCGGTTGAACATCAGGAGAAACTTCTGATGGTCAGAGCGGTTAGGCACTAGAGCTGCCTAGAGAGGTAATGGGCTCGAGATATTAAAGCAAAGACTTGACAGCCATCTCTCAGGGTTGCTTTAAATTGGATCCATGAGCAGAGCGTTGGATTCAATGGCCCAAATGGCCCATTCTAACTCCATGACTATATGATAACACCCAAGTCCGAAACTGCTGTTGCTATGTGCCATCCAGTTATCTCTGACTTATGGCAACCCTCTAAATGAATATTCTCCAAAATGCCCTGTGCTAGACAGACCTGTTCAGCTCTTGTACATTGAAGGTTGGGCTTCCCTTATGGAATACATATTTTATTTGGTATTCCCCTTCTTTTTCTGCCTTTGACTTTCCTGAGCTTATCGTCCTCTCCAGTGAACCTTGCCTGCTTGTGATGTGCCTGAAGTGCAAAAGCCTGCGTTTTGTCATTTTTGCCTCCAGGGTAGTTCAGGCTTGATCTGATCTAGAATGTGCTCGTTCATCTTTCTGTCAGTCCAGGCTATTCACAAAGCTCTTCTCCAGCACCATGGTTCAAATGCATCTTTTTCTTCCTATAATCTTGCTTCACTTCCTTGGATCTGTAATGCCACCATAACACCCATGTTGGCTAGAAGATATGCTTGACTTTTAAATGGACATTATTTAATTTACAAGCTGCCCATCATTTACAGGGGATTCCAGGAGCTGTACATACATTATGAAAGACCAAATGCAGTATATAAACAATAATAGAATAAAACATAGGCATGGGAGCAAGAGTGTTAAATTCACTGGGATATGCTTCAACATAACTATGCTTAGCACTGGTCTTGCAGCTCTCACGAGCGTTCTTCTTCCTCATTTTGCAATCTGAAAAAAGTTGGCCCCAGTATTTTAGCAAAAAGTCTTGATCTTGAATCTATGTTTAAAGTTGGTCCAAAATAGTGTTGGCATGCTGACACTTGGATTCAGTGTGATGAAAGATATGCCAAAGTTGCAGTGCCGAGCACACTCACCAGCAAATATGCTCAGCTGAACTCAGGAAATACACTTAGAATTGTGTTGCAAGGAATCTCTTAGATTCTAAGCCATCTGAAGGAGATTTTGCACAAACCGTTTGAGTACTGTTTTCAAAAGCCAAGAAATAATAAGAAGAACAGAACAGAAATAAACAAGAACCAATTTCTGAGACATTCAACAAATAAACAGGCCAGAACCTTGAGTACCTGTTCCTGCCATGTATTTCCAGGGCCAGTATTTCCATGAAGTGGGGTAGAGTCACTGCCTCAGGCATACGGGTGGCAGTGGCTGGGCTGCTTCACTGCAGAGGGGGAAGGAGTGCTGGCCAAGCTGCCATTGTGACGTTGTGGCATGGGCAGGTGGTTACAGAGGGTAGTGGTGGATGGGGAAGGAGAAGCTGGGCAGCCTCCACCATCAACATAGGGGAACTTGAGGAAGGGAGAGGGAGAGGGTAGTGGCTGTCATCATTTCGGCTAGGGGAAAAGAAGGGAAGACGTCCCACTACTACAGCTGTTATTGTGGCTTAAGGAAAAAGAGGCCACCATTTGACAGCTCTGTGGATAAGGCATTCTTTAAATAAACATTAGGTTTACTTAGGCAGTAGAGACTTGATTATGCTCTGTAAGCCACGGGGGGGGGGGGGCTGTTGTGTTGTTTACACCAACCATGGGTTATTCAGGATGGCTTTTCAGCTCAGTTTTTTGGCTTATAAATAAGCCTAACAGTCTGTGATTTGTTGTAGAGTTTGTTAGCCTTCCCTGGAGTCACTGTGTCATCCAAACTTGACCACCTCTGGGCTAGGCTAAACTGCTACAGTTTGCTGCTTGGCAAGAGCGGCAAAAAGGCTTGCCGCTCTTGCCAAGTGGCTGCCAGGTGAGCATTGCTGACACTGCTCCCGAAGTGCACAAGCAAGGCAGTGGCAGCACCCACCTACCCCACCATTCCAATTCCCATCCAAAGTACACCATGGCAGCCAGCCACGTCCCTGCCTGCCATTTTGGGACAGCAAAGGCAGTGGGGACACAAAGGTAACCTCAGCCAGGTATGCCCATAGCCAGCTGGAGCCATCGCCTCTTCTCTGCTGCCCCCTGCTGGCGGTTTGAGGTCAGCAGGGAAGAGGCTCCTGCTACTGGCAGCATGGGGCACTGAGTGCAAGTCAGCTGAGCCACTTGTGGCTTGCCCTGACCTTTGGCTGGTGGCACAGGGGATGGGGGAGACCTCAGCTCGTGAGGGAGGCCTCAGAAGCAAGGGTGTCTACTCCTTGTTGCTGCCACCACACACACACTCAGAGTCTGCAGGGTGTGTATGTGTGCATGGGAACTTCCGTGCTCCCTCAGGGGCCCCTGGGATAGGTGCGAAAGGACTGGGTGGGGAGAAGGGGCAACCTACCCATGATAAGCCTAATCAGCTGTTGGGTGCAAGGGGATAGGGTGGCTTATAACCCACACTATATAGCTTTCTATGCAGTATGGCTTTTTTGTGTTGTGCAGGCCCTCCAAGCATCCGTCTGAGTCTATGGGATAGCCCACCAACTTTGAAATAGGCAGTGCAATGTCCTGTCTCAGGTGGTGGGAGATCTTGCACTGGCCCTTCTAAGAATACTTACCCAGTTTATCTTACTTGCTGCATCAATTAATTTTAATTGTGGAAGAGGAAGATTCATCAAGGTATCTCCATATTGGGAAAGCTGCACCCATTAAATTTCTGCCTGCCATGCAGCCATTGAGGGCTCAGTAGCTTCTGGGATGGTCAATAAGCTTAACAGAAGATGTTTTGCATCTGTAAGGTCCAAGGCCAAGCTCCTTGTAGAAAATCGCAGGAACAAGCACTCAGCCATCACAAATGCATGGATAAGCTAATGGTGGCAAGCCAACTGGACCAACTTATAAGGCAGCTTCATCTACTTTAGAAAAGATGGCTACCTTATTTCTCTAATAGCGTTATGCGCCACGGAAAGTGCTTGAGCGGATGGAATGACACTTATTCAAACTGGGCAGAGCTGTCTGCGGCTGTTTCCTCATGCTGGGAACCTCGATGGCATTGAGTCGGCTACCTTCCTCTGATTTCATAAGGTCGAGTGGAGGAACAAAACCATTTCCCCTCTAAAAAAATCTGTTCCGGCCGAAATGCAGCCGAGGCAGGCAGCTAGTTGCGCGTGCGTTTCCTCGGAGAGCAGCACGCACGGCCTCGCCTGTTCCAGGCTGTGACTGCTCCACAAGCCTAGCCGCCCTCTGCTTTGCGTCCTCTTCACATCGAGACTTCCGAGTAGACCTGCTCGTGCTCCAGCAGGGAGGCAGCGAGCGGAAAGTCAGCTGATCTGGCCTTCCCTCACGTGATTTCCCCTCAAACATGGCTGCGCCCAGGCGAAGGCTGCTTTGGGTAGTTTTCACATGCTGGGCTCTGCGGCTGCGGGTCGCTGTGTGCTCGGAGCGCGGCGAGGACGAAGGGAGGCCCGGAGGCCACGGGGATGGAGGCTCGTGTGGCTGCAGCACCGGCCGGGCAAGCGGTGGCGAAGCAGCTGCGCAGAAATATTCCCTGGAGGCCAATGTGCCCCCGCAGCCAAACGACGGGTTGGGCAGCGCGCAGTCGAAAGATGAGGGCAGGCAGGTTGGTAAGCCCCGTGATCGGTTGGGGGTCTCGGTGAGGAGGAGCAGCCAAGTTGGGGGGGGTGAGTGTGGGGGGTATGAATGCGACAGACCCTTAATAAGGAACTCTGAGAAGTTTTGTGAAGACTTTCCCCAACGGACTCTGCGGGAAAGCATGACAATACGATTCAACATGTTTTTTCAGATATCCCATTCAGTTAACGGGGTCCATTCCCAGCCATAAATGCTCCTAGAAAAGGTTTGCTTGTCAATTTGAGGCTTAGTTTCTAAGCACTGTATAGGCCTGTACAGCATTTAGTTAGACTGAGTAAGACCAGTGATTTTCATAACTGTTAGATTCAGGACCTGTTCAGTCAGAAGTAAGCACCACTGAATTGCAGCATCATGCTTCTGTAGATGAGTTGTAAAACTTGTCAACATTTTCTGTACAGGCATGTCTTAGAGATATTGTAGGTTCAGTTCCAGAGCACTGCAATAAGTTGAATATAGTAATAACTTGGGTCATCTATAGTTATACTGTTGGCTAACTGGTTCAAGAGGCCCAGTTTTCAGCCTATCTTGGTATTCAATATGTCTTCCTCCCTAAGCTTAATTGTTTCTAGCTTCCTCTCACTTGTAGGAGCCATTGTAGGACTATATCAGTAATTGGCCTACTCTGCATACATATTGTTGTGTCTTGGGGAATAAGGATGCCCTACAGCAGGGAGAGACATGGATGACCATGGTGGAGCAGTCAAAACTCCCCAAATCAATTACAAAGATCCCAGTAACATCACAGATAATCCTAACAAACATACTGTACAGTAATGAAAAGGTTTGAAATATAGTACAGCATTGTAAGAATTACATTACCAAAACATGCGACAGAAACATGAACAACTCCTGTTGGAAAAATGGCACTGATAGATGCACGTGCTCAACGCAGGGTCATATCTGGGAGGAACAATAAAATGAGGCACAATATACTGAGGTATACCTGTACTTAATGTGGGATATTACCCTTCAGATACTTCTGCTGCAACAGGTTCTCACCATCTTGTAGACATTGTTAGCACTGTAGGAATGGTTCACATGCATCTTATGATTGCATGAGAATGACTTGGGACATTGCATACCTGGAGAGTAAAATCCACCACTGGAGATTGCCTTGTTGCAGTGATGAAAACTGTTGTCACCAACACATCATTGCAATCAATGTTTTGACATGGTATGGATTAAAAGGGGCATGATGGGGATCATATCAAAGGATCAGATATATGCATGTGTGCACACTCATGCTCTACAAAAGGAGGACATCTACACCATCCTTGGTGTAGCACTTTTTTCTCCCAGTTTGTGTAGGAAATTTTCAACCTGCTAAATACAGCAGCATGTATTCCTCCCTCTCTTAAGCCATGATAAAAGTGCATAGAGATGGTTCCTATTGCACAGGTACTCCCCATGCCCATCCCCCTCCTTTGGTTACTTTGTGAATGACTTAGGTCTGGTTTTCTGTGGCTTGGTCTGGACCAACATGAATTGACCGTTTGTGTCCTCACTGAAACTACTTGTGGTTGGCTGTCCAGGCTTACAGGCATGTGGTTTTTCTAGCAGTCCTTCTAACCTGCAGTTAGTATAGTAACTGAAAATTGTAAACAGGTGCCTCACATAGGCAGAAGGTGTACTCTGTCTGGTATTGGAAAGGCTCGAATGTCTCAAAGTGTGCTTACCTCTAAGAGATTGAACTAAATTTTCAGCCACTCACACCATTGAGACTTTTGTTGTTGTTGCCTAGAAACTGAAAATACATATTCCCTCCTGCAATTGCTGGCTTTACTGAGCTTTGATCTCTCCACACAAAGGTCTGGCAGAATAATCTATGTGGCTAAGCACAGCATTAAATATTTCTGTTCCCTGGAAGTAGTTGCTATTTGTTTAACAGAAAGGCTCTATTCTAGCAAGTACGGTTAGTCCTAAGATTACTTCCTCCCACCATTGAACAAAGCCCATTCCTGTGTCATACTTACTCAGGGCTAATATATAAAACTACTTGGAATCTCTAAAAAAGAGATAAAATGCAGCTTAAAATCATATCTAAGGTGCTGCTGTGGACTTTTTCTTATGGTTGTAAAGGAAGTAAAATTACAGGTCTAATGATACTGACTCTGAGGATCAGTACATGCAGTCCTGGGATGAAAGAGTTCTTGCAGTGATGTTTTCTTGTGATGTCTGATCGTGGCATCTGGACAGATGTGCTCCAGTTTACTAGGTGTCTTCATGGCTGAAATCTTCATAGTACTTTCTGAGTCCATCCAGCATGAAGGACATTCTTGGCTTGCCTGTTCTCTTGTCAGTCAGGGGAGATCTTCCTGTCTTTTGCTTTTTAATATAATAAAGCAATCCTCACATAGCTTGCTGCAGTTCTTTAAATAGTACAAGTATGTTTGGGTCATTGAGGGACTGTATGTGTTTTGTAACATTCTCTGAAGTACTGACAGTAGATAATGGCTTCTGGACAACTACCGTAGAATATATATTAGTGTTCAGTATACAACAAAATTGAGATTTTTGAAACATGGTGCTGGAGGAGAGCTTTGCAAATATCCTGGACTGATAGAAGGAGAGACAAGTGAGTTCTAGATCAAATCAAGTCAGAGCTGTCCCTAGAAGCAAAAATGGTGAAACTGAGGCTGTCATACTTGAGACACATCATGAGAAGGCAAGACTCAGTGAAGACAATCCTGCTAGGGAAGGTCAAAGCAGAAGAAGAAAAGGAAGACCAAATAAGAGATGGATTGACTCTATAAGGGTAGCCAGAGCCTTGAATTTAGAGCAGCCAAGCAGGGATGTCCTGGATAGGATATTTTGGAGGCCTTTCATTCATAGGGTTGCAATAATGACTCTCCCACACTAGAAGCATTCAGGATGCAACTGGACAGCCCCCTGAAAAGGATGGTTAACTTGATGCCCTGCACTGAGCAGGGAGCTGGACCTGATAGCTCAATGGCCCCTTCCAGCTCTACTTCTCTGTGATTCTATAAGTTGGAGATGACTTCAGACATAACAACAGCAGTATACAACAATGTATGAGCATATGCATGAGTTTGCTGCATCTCTTACGTACAGCCTTCAAATATTTAAAACGTTTCCAGAAAAAGAAAGTGGTCTAATTACTTGCCTTGTTACTTTTATAATTTTCACCTTTGCTTGATGGAGGCAAAGACAAGGTATACTCAAGGAAGTGGATTTAGTTTAAATATTAGGGGGAAAACATTGTAATGTAAGATCAATTCAGCAACAAAAGCAAGTAACTAGATAGGGCTTAGGTTGGACAGTTGTTGGATATGCAGTTAGTTCTAGGCTCTTCCGGCTCTGGACAAGGTATTGCCTGCTGTTAGCCTTTTCATCACCTCCGGTGTCGTGTCAGTAGGGTTAGTAGTTAGTAGAACTAACTTGATACAAGGGCAAGTTGACATCTTAAAACAGGTTATAGGTTGCACTGTCATTTGCTTAAGTGACTTGTAAATGGCATCCAGAATGGTCTGACCAGTATTATTTTTTTTTTCCGATTTTTCCGATTTATATCCTGCCTTTTTCCTGCAAAGGGCTCAAGGCAACTTACATCTCCTCCTCCATCTTATCCCCACAACAACAACCCTGTGAGGTAGGTTGGGCTGAGTGTCTGTGACTGGCCCAAAGTCTCCCCGTGGGCTCCGTGGCCGAGCAGGGACTAGAACCCTGATCGCCTGAGTCCCAGTCCCATGCTCTTCCCCACTGCATCACACTGGCTCTCAGAGAATTACAGAGAATCCATGGCCTGGGTGTCTCCTTTTCTGCTCTCTCGGAAGACAGGTACCCTTGGGAAGGTGGAAAAGATGGACTCCAAGTTACTGAAACTGTCAATATCTTATTAGCCTTGCACACAGCTGGTGGGTGTCCGTGTTTGAACTACCGTTGTCTGTTTCTGGTCACCCCAACTAAAGGCTTTGGTCCAGCAGAAAAGGGCAAACTGAATGGAGAAAAGTGGGGAAACTTCCTTATGAGGAAAAGTTTTGTTTAGCTTGCAGACGAGTGCTGGAAGACATGCGTCAGAATTGTGCATCCTGCAGAGAAAGGGGTTGGGAGTTTCCTTCTCTCTCTCAATCCCATAATTCAGTTGGGATTTTGCTTGATGGGACGCTCAGCACAGATGAAAAGGACTTCTCTACACCCTGATAGTTCAGCTATAGAAGTCACTTCTGCAAAACGTAGCAACAGCCACCAATTTGGATGGCTTTAAAAGGGAATTACAAACACTCATGGTGGAGTGGACCAAGCCATGTGTTTTCGTCTGTGAAGTCTTACATGTCCTATTGTGTCAAAGCAAGCCCGTAGTCCCCAGTGACTCGGAAACGAACATTTTAGGGTAGCCCCGCCGAGTTTCTCATTAGGCAGAAGGAAAAATGACAGGATGAAAACAGCATATGGAAGGGCACCGAATGCGGGAACCAGTTCAAACACACGACCAGTAGTGGGATTTAGATGTTTTGAAAACCTGCTGAAGTTTCTTTCTGACATTCACTCATTGTTTTCATGAAGAACAGTATTAGAGGCTCAACATTTGTAATTTCTCTGTACTCGGGTTGTCAAAAATGTGAATTATGCCAATATTGAGCATTTATAACGATCCATTTCTATTGTAGCCAGAATAAAACTGTTGCATTCTATGTGCCACCTGGATTCGAAGTTTGGTTACCTTCTGCATTGGAGATATTAGCATCATGAATTAGTAGCAAGAAGGAGGCGCCCTGTTTCTTCACATTTTTAAATAAATTGAATGACACATTTCTTGAATGCATAGCAATCATTTTCAGATTCCTGTACAGACTTGGCAGGATGAAAGGGTATTTGATCAGCAAACCAAATATTTCATGTTATGAGCAAAAGCCACACTGCTGTATTTGCTCTCCTGCTAGAGCCAGCACCTGTCTGGCAAGACAGGTGCCCAGAGAGCTTGGCTGCTTGGTGATACAGAAATAAATA